TTCAAAGAATGCAGAAAGAAACGAGTTTGCAATTTTTTTTGTGGTTCCTCAGCGTAGATCTATTGGTTCCTGTATGGGCCATTCATTACATTAAAGGTCCTCTAAGGCTGCATAGGCTGCTATAATATTTCGACCATGGCACGTTTTGCCGATTTAATTATTGGAAAAGTCCCTTTTCGTTTCCCATCTCGAGGTGAATATTGTTAGTTCACTCGTTCGTGCTAAGTGCTGATTCGATTCCAGAAAAATCAGAAAATTTTAGGACTTTTCCAAGATTTTTCTACAACAAATCACATGGTTTCTCCTTAAGGCCACACAAAAACTTCCGATAAGTCTTCTTTTGAAACTTTAATTTGCAAATTATCATGTTCTTTGGCTAATTTTCACGATAAACAAAATACCTCTTTCCAAAGACCTAATTTTCTTTTAGGCCTTTTTCTTCCACTTTCCCTGCTTATTGTGCAATGACTTTGCCGTCTTTCTCTGCTACATAGCGGCAAATTGAACCAACGACACCATTTGTAGAGCTCCAAGATATCCGTGGAGACTTTGGGCACTTTGGGCTAACGTCTTTTTAACAGATATTTCCGTTTCCTACCCTCGGAAGCCCAGTAAGAACATGGAATCGATCTGACGGGAAAGCCTCTATCGTGTGCAGCTTCGTTGGACTCCGTTGCTCTCCTATAAGGTCAGATTGTTTCATACCCTCTTATTTTTTTATGAATGCCCCAAATTCCAACCAATTGATATTTTGGTGGCTTATACAAATGCTATTTTACCTGCATATTTTATTATTTTATCAAACTGAGCTAATTAATCGCCAAAGTTATACACATTTTTAAGACATATTTTGTTACCATATTTTAGTAAACTAAACGCTTGTAAACCCCCCACATGCATATATGTGGTACCTGTTGGTCAAATCAACCCTTTCATGATGTGTAAAATAATCGCATAGATTATAATGATGATTATGTTTTGGTTTTGAGTTTGCCACTGTTAACTTTGATTTTTATATTCCCTCTTTAATGTTTACTATTAAATCTGCCTTATCATGGGCGCCGGCAGGGGGGGCAAATCGGGCATTTGCGCCCCCCTGGATTTAGAAACTTGAATTATACAGCAAAATCAAAATATATTTATTTTCCCAAAAATATAGAACACAACACATGTCAATAGAAGTCCACAAAAGATCATACATTTTATATATGCATAAAACAAAACTAAAATATAAACTTATTTTTTGAAAGTTTCTTATTGTTTGATTGAACAATAATTGCATCCTTCTGGGGCGGAAACGGAATTTTTTAATAACTGCATGGATAAATGCTTTATTTTCCCGGACTCTTTTACGATGAATACTCATCATACAAAGTCCGGAAAGTCTATTGTAGTGACGCAGAAATAAACCACCAAGAAAAACCGTCAAGAATAAAATAACTGTTAATAGATCTGGTTATTTTGTTGAAAAATAAAACAAATAACAAACAAAACATAAATCAAACTGGAAAAATGAAATCAAAATCAACTACAACTTACCGAAAATTAAACACCCCAGGAGACCACAACACTCAACCAGTTTCGGCCGGAACTTCTAGTAAAATAATCTGACCAGCGAATAAAGAAACAAAAGAAACTGAAATCCCTTTTCAAATATCAATAAGTGGGGTCACACAAAAATAAATGATTGAAATGTGTCCCTGAAAGGCGGCAAATTTCTAACATGACGGCATCTGTCACTGAACCTAAAATTCCGGGAAGACACCATAAATCAGCCATCAGGCGCGTGCTGTATACCGACAAAGAAATGGTACCGCATTCCACTAAAAAGAAGGCCGAAAATGACAAAATATTGATGTCAAAGCACTTGTAAACGTTGGGGGAGAAAATTGGGTCGCCGAAAGAACAAAGGAAGGAAGGAGAATATTTTTATATAAAAAGCCCGAATTGCGAGAAAAATAGCAGTGTCGATTCAGAAGAAGTTCAGTCCAGAACGGTCAAAAAGTTGCAGTCGAAAACAGTCAGATCGGTCAGTCGTGTCAAACGCAACAAGCAGAGTCCAAAGTCGAAGATAGTACGAAAAGTTTCAAGGAGGCAGCGCGAAAATTTCGGTTCATAAAGTCAAGTCGTAAAACTAACTAACGTTTCAGTAATTACGTGTGTGCCAGTAGAGTTTTAAAGTAATAAATACATCTTGTAAGTACATTCACACTGTAAAGAAAGGAAATTTGTACTTTTTATAAAATAGGGCAAAAGTTAATGAATTGACAAATTAACGAAAGCTAAATAATTATTCCAATAGGAATTAAAACATTGTTAAGATGATATTTCATGATTAATAGTTGGTAAAATAAGAAAATTTGAAGCTGAATTTTGTAAAAGAACTTTTTTTTTGAAACATATTTCGTTATTCATAATTATTTATAACATTTTGATTTGGGATTTTCGAAATTTATAATTGAAAAAAAAAAAGAATTTGAACTTTCTAACTTGACATTATTTTGATAAGGCGAACTTTTGATACGAAACTTACCTGTTGGAAATTTTATAATAGAATTAAGGTATTGTGAGAAAAGAGTGAATTTTTAAATAATTCAGATATAAAAATTTTGATTATTATATTTCAAGCCTTTCTGGCCGACGCCCCATAAATTTATTTTATATTTTAAATAAAATCATATTAACATAATGGTCCACAGTTGTGTTTTACTCTCACTCCCGCAAATAGGACCCATATCAATCTGTGTCTCCACTCAGAAACACAAGCCGCCGCTCGCCAATTCAACATCATATAAATTTCTGAGTTTGGGGTCTCACACTATCATGCCTCATAGGTAGTCGATCTTAGCCATGTCTTGACTCTCCTTAATGTGCTGAAGGACCTCGCAACGGTATAGGTTGTGGCTGGAAAGGTTAATCCAATTTTGATTGCTTCCGTTACAGAGGGCATATTGCCTAACGAAAATTTTAGCAGATCGATATATTTCAATTTTTCAATTTTTTCAGGAGCAAGTTCAGACAACTTCCACATCTCATACCAGGTTTGTGCCTCTGACAGAAATTTGTCCAAAATATCTCCGTAGAAGTCTTGAATGGCGGCTGCTACCTCTAAAAATTCTTTCAAAGTTTTGGATGAAGTTCATACAAGTTGTATCCTTTCGAATTTCTTTCCGAAAATCGATCTTCTAGAGACACCTGTGCAAAAATTTACCCCGGTGGCGCATGTACGGGGACAGGACCCCCCGTGCCTTGCCCCCCCCCCTGTCCCGCTGTCTGTCGTCGCCCATGTGCCTTATTGACTTTAAAAGGTTGGCGTTTGCTTTCTCATTTATTACAGATTTCTTTGGGTTCTTTCCCGTTTTTAGGTATATTTAAATCACAGTTACCTGACCCTAGGGGAAAAACGGGTGGCGCTATTAATTTTACAGTCTTTTTATCCACGACCACTCTCCGTTACTGATCCGGCAAGGAGGGCACTTATACCCGTAACAGGTAATGCTGTTTGAACCGTTCTGTTTTTAGATGAAAAACATAATTATTTTTCTCAAGCCCAATTTTGACTTTTAAGAGGGAACCACCCACATAACAGTAAAAGAACATTCATATATTCTCAGAATATTCCCTCAAAGTGTTTTTTGGAATGTTCTTCTAGGAATGTTTAATGAATATTCTAAGATTGTTTCGATTGAAATATTCATTTTTGAACGTTCTATTTATGTACTAGGAATGTTGCTTCTATGCACCTACCTGAAAGATTGTGCTAAGAACCTAATTTATATAACATTATTTGAATATTGTCATACGAACAAAATTATAATGTACCCCAAAAAATGTTCGTTCGGCTAACATCTCTATCAAATATTAAGAATATACCTACCAAGTTGTACTGAGAAGTTTATGTAGATAGGTAACCATGATAAGAATATTTTCATATTGTTCACCTAATTATCTAAAGTACCTACTCAAAAATCTTAAAAGAACAATTAAACAATAATGCTCTATCTAAAACATACTAAGGATATTATAGGTATATTCTTTTTCTTTTGCTTTGTAGAACTTCCAAGAGAGGGAGCCACACGCTATTAAAGATCTATATCTTGCCTAGCGTTTGAATCACCTTGGAACCTGTTTCTCTCAGTTGGCGTACTTATCGCGACGAGAGCATAACAAGCTTGAAACAGGAGCTTTGGTTAAACACTTGTGTTTTCCAGAGAAGTTTTCCAACAACTCTTTCTCTGCCTTTAATATATAAAAGGACTGGAAGGAGCATTATTTGGAAGCGAAAATTAACATTCCAAGTATATCCCTAGAATCAAACAAGAATGTTATGTCTAGGATGCATATTGAGAATAATATATGTATGTAGATATATTCTACAAATATTTCAAGCATATTGGTATAATATTCTTTCGAGAACATAACTATAATGTCATAGAAACATTCTTTGAATATGAAATATACATTTCGAGCATATTTTTAGAATCAAACAGGATATTCTTTTCAGGATGTACTGAGAATCTCATAGGTATATTCTAGGAATATCCTAATGGATTTCCCAGGAAGTTCTTGGGTATTGCAAACAGTATTTCTACAATCTTTTCTCAGAACATTCTCAGGACATTCGCAATGGTTTTGGCGAACATTCTAGGCACATTCCTTCTAAAAAAAGAACATTCCTAATACATTCTAAGGATGCAATTTTGTTATGTGGGCATCTATTTTATTGTCATTTTCCTATCCCCCAAACACAAACCTTTCTTTTTACAATGCGCATACTGTAACCAACTTTGTGAAGGAACCAAAAACCCTCTCTTCTGCAACGGCAACCTAAGCAATAAGATCAATCATTTCACCTAATCAATCCAAGATAATAAAATTGCGATAGAACTGGTTTGGCTGTTTTATTTGGCTTGAATTCGGATATTACAGAAAGTGAAAATAAATTATTGAATAAAACTTTCACCATTCAAAACAAATAAATATTTATTAAGAACATGTTACAGCCACAAAAAAAGCTTTATTAATACATAATTTTAATAAGAACAATATGCAAATAATTTAATTCGGATAAATATATTATTAAATACCTACAACCAAGTAAATACTGCTGTTAAAAATTATTATATAATTATGTTAGATAAGTACATATCACAATCTAAGTCTATATAGTTTAGCAAAAAATTACAAATTTATAGTAGAGTATTCTCCAACAAAAAAATTTGATATTAGAACATGGGCATCTATATTTTCTAGCTCGATTTCTTATTGGGTCTACTCAGCTAATTTGAAGATAATAATGCCAGGAATGCCACTTGAGTTAACAATTGTAAAGAACTGTGTATTAATGCTTTTAAAAGATTCGTTGTTTTAGTCTCCACAAATTAAAATTATTAATATGAAAAATGCTATATAGTAGGTATTGCTTGATTAATCACATCACTGTTACATTTTTCAAATAAATATAGGTAATGTAAATGTGTAAAAATTTAGGTAGGTACTTCTTCAATTTGTCACAGTGAATAAAAACTAAAAATTATTGTAAGTACCTAATGAGTATCTATAGTTTTCGCAAAAATTATAATTTATCGTTTTACTATAAATCATGTCTTGTTTAGCAAATTAATGTAAATGACTTTAAAGTCTAATCACTTTTTAGGCATAATATGACACCCCCACTAGGGAGTCTTTCTATATATTTTTTTAATTTATATCTATTATTATAATACTGCAATGTCTAGCAAGAAATTCGTTACAAAATAGCGCAATAAAGCATTTCCAAAAACATAAATTCTTATCACATATTATGTTATAAAATACAAACCACACCTATGAAACCAACAAAAGTTTTAATAATGCTACAAATCAGAATATATTTCTGATAGGTTGGTGAATTTACTTTCATAAAGTCCTACACATTTTACCAGAACACTTTTTGAACTTTTTCAAAATGTTGTTATAGTATCTGATTAGCTTGGAGTTCATTTTCGGGAAAACGTTTCTCAATTCGTAAGGATCTAATGATAAATTGTAGGCTTCCACAAAACGCTGCAATAATTTTAAAATGACTTAATTCAACTAGTAAAAAATATAAAATAAGTTCTTACCTCGTTATCATCAAATTTACAATACTTGAACCGAAGTTCTTCCCTAAAGTCCATCACACATGTGTACGTGTTGTTGCGGCTATCTTGACATTTACACCATTGACTAACGCTGCATTCCTGAATATGGAGATAATTATTATCACTGCATAGATGAGTGAAAGCTTACCATTAAGTTATCATCATAAGTCCAGGGGCAACTCTTCTCCACAGTTTTATCATTGGACTCGCCCCAATACTCCATAAATACAAACCTAAAGCCAATCCTGTTTCTTTTGTTCAGGAGTTGCTTTTTGAAACTTTTACCGTCCATGTGATGTGGTGGCCTAATACCAGCCAAATCTAAGAAATACCAATACCAAGTTCATTTATTGTTATTCCTTTGTGAACCTAGATTTGAATGAATGAATGAATTAGGGGTATTGTTACACTGCGATCTGCATAGATCTATTGTGTCCCCTTCTGGGTGCTTCGGTTGATAGGAAAGCTAGATTTATAAAACAAGTTGATGTACAAAAGTTCCATTTGAATTTGCGGATGTGAGGTTCAGATTAGAAGCGGTTTACAAACTTTTCAGCTTTTCTAGTTTAACAGTCTGCTCCCTTTGTGTTTTGGAAAAATTTAAAAGCTACTTATTTTTTCCTAATAATAATTTTTCAAGGAAATGGTTAACGAACACAATGTTAACATTGAATTGCAAAGTTAGTTGGGGTCAAATATTTATTAGATGAGATAGGGCCAAGGCTGCGTTCAGATTGAACGTCGGGTGTCGCCCGAGCGCGTTCCGACCGTTCAGATTGCTTTAGGTAAAATTTACCCAGCCGTTCAGATTGTCAGTAGATTTTTACCGGACGACGCCCGGGCGCACACTTTTGCATCCCATAAAATAGCAAGATAAAATTTGCCCCGCATGCGCGTTTGTGTTCTAACCTTAAATAATAAAGGCAAATATTGTAAATAATTATTTTTGCGAGTTATGGTGGGTTTATCTAAATTCTTCGTTATCCTCATCAACTCTATTTAAAAAAAAAGGTGGCCTCTTTCTTTTTTTTTGTTTAGTTTGTGATGCTAAATTGATAGCAATCACTGACACTAGCACATCCTCGTCGTCCGAAGATGAAGCGTCCTCATCATTCAATAACTCTTTAAATATGAAGATACTCTGGCTTCTTCCAAAGTTAGTATTTATTTAAAAAATTATGAAGAAAACGGAAAAAATGTTAGAATCATTGAGGTTATAAAGAAAGAATGCGTCTTAGCCGTTCAGATTGGGCGAATCGCCGGGCACACTCGGAGTGCGCTCTCTATCGGGTGCGCTCTTCACTGGACGTCGTCCGGACTCTTCAATCTGAACGCGCCCCACAAATGTTTTAAAAAACCAGCCTTAGATACAATTTTACTAACCTAGAATTGTTGGAGCCATATCTACTGCTGATACAGGATACGGTTCCAAGATTTTTTTTCCTACACCAGGACCACTTATCAGAAGTGGTACTCTTGTATCAGCTTCATAAGGTTGTCGTTTATCCCAGGGCTGACCAAACTGGCCTGGAAAAATGAGACAAATGCTGAAACAGTACATCAACAAAAACGATAAATAGGTACAATTTCAATCATATAAAACGAATACGGTTTCTTGTGTAAAGAAACTATTGAGAATATCACATTCAGATTAGAACGGAGTGTAGGTTTTCACCATTCTGTCAACAAAGGCTGCTGAACTATGTGAAAAAGCTGGCACTGCTTGATCCTGCCTTACAGGAATGAGCAATTTGCTGCAGTCAAGTTTTTTTCTCAGCAATTTGTATAACAAAAATAAATCTCTATGTCTTGATTCTAATATTTCTATATCACACAAAACTCATTGCGTTTCATAAGAGACTCAGGAGAATGGAAAACGGCGTTGTTGTACAGCAGAAACTTGAGATACTTGTTCTACACCACTATTCAGTCTATCTTTAGTCTAAGTTCGCGGTATAATAAGTTAACTTTTCCAGATTTCTTATACTTGCTCAGAAGGCTTGTTATTTTACTGTCAGTCTTAATATTTGCTTGAAAATTCCGAAATTTCTCCCTTTCGCTTACTTAACTCCGCCCTAAACTTGTACGTACTTAGCATAAAAAATAAAATCATCGGTCCTGAATCTTATATTTTCTCAGAAAGCTTGTTATTTTACTGAGTCAGTCTTAATCTTTTCTCGTTCAATTCCGAAATTTACTACATATTATCTGATATGGGCTGAGGTGAGAGCTATAAGCCTATTTTTGCACTGTTACTTATCAATTGTTTTTAAGTGTTTGTTTTGGATTAAGCACTATGGGAACTGAAATCAAGTTTTCAAGACAAAACTGAAGTAACATAACTGTTTCAGCTGGGAGTAGATTCCAGAGGGCAAAGACTTTGGTAGAACGTTCTCCCTACACAGTATGGAGTAGTTTTCTTTTTCAAGTTTGAGACTGTGACCCCGTGGAGTCTCTGATCTGTGTTCCGAAGGGCCAGCACCACTTCTGGTGTGAAAGAAGTACTCGTAACGCAAGGAATGTAGCCTCGGATGCCCTACCCAAGCAACACTCCCATGTTGGGCCAATATTGGGACAATAACTACGATTTATTGGCCCAAGTCAGATTCTCTATGTTGGCTCAATAAAAGATGTGGACATTCTGCAATATTTGTCCAAGAACGTATGTCAATATATACCCAAAAACAAATACCAACGTTGGTACAATAACGTAACCAAATATGGCCCAAAAAGAAATAATCAATATCATATCAAGAACTTTATGCAATATAGAGCCAATTGAAATTACCAATATTGGCCCGAAGACTTAATGTAAATCTTGGCTTTATATTATATTTAATTAAGGTAACGGACCAATTATAAGGACCGACTAAGAAGTGTTTTCTCTCTGCCGGACCATCCGTGGACCCTTTCGCTGTATCAAAACTCATCAGCACGGTTAAGTCCCGCCAGGGTCCCGCAGAGAGAAAACAACCAATTTTTGGCTTCATCCCAGAACCAGGTTTAAGACAGGTAAAGTGAAGAGAGAGTCTCCATCTATTTTTTGGTCGGCAAACCAAGTGCGCACATTGAATACCCTATATTGGACCAACATTTTCAATTCAGAAAATCTAACCTTAGTAAAAATTAGTATGTAAATATTGGCCCTTCATTGAGCTTTTCAAAAAGTATCAATATTGTGAAAAAATTGAAAATGAATATTGGGTGTACAAAGTTTTTGAAGTGAATTTAAATATCAATAAAAAATTGAATGCCAATATTGAATTAATATCATATTACAATATTGTTTCGATAATATAAAATGTAATATTTGGCCAATATTTCATAAATCAATATTGTAGTGAGAAGTCTTGGGCCAATATTCAAATTACTGAAAAGTTAATAAATCTATGAAAACAATATTGGTACAAGATTATTTTTAAATATTGTTTCCACATAGTTATAACTAACGTTGCCCCAATATTAGTACTGTGTGGATTTAGCAACAAAAATGAATAAATATTGGCCCGATTGAAAAACGATGTTTACCCCATATTATGTGCTACTTGGGTACAAGGTCGCAGGGATATATCCAAGTATACCTTGGTGTTGCGACCCCACGGACCCAAGCACTTCATAGTGTACATACAAAACCCCTTACCTTAGCACTACCATGAATAGTTGTGGTACGGTAGAGCTCTGCTGAGATGGACGTTTTATTACCCTGTAGGCTGGTAGTAGCTATAAAATGCACACCCATTCATAATGGTGAGAAGTATAAAGAATTAAAGCCTCGGACGAGCGTCGGTATGATCGGGTACGGTGCGGAAATCTACAGCCCGGTCAAAAATACGACAACCCTGCTGAAGCTCTGGATAATCCTAAGACCTTCATTGTATCTGATATTGTTGGAGATGGGATCTGCCTATTTAGAGCTGTGAGCATGTACTTATACGGTCACCAAGAATGTCACGAACAGCTAAGAGAAATCGCACTGGGATATATAAAGGAAAACTGGTCTGTACTACAAGACCATGCTCTGATTGACAATGATAGGATGAGAAATATCGAAATTTACTATAAGAACATGCAAAGAAAACAAATGTCTATAGCACTAGCCTTGAAATACTTGCTCTCTCCGAAACTCTAAGCATAAACTTCCATATAAACACCAGACCTAGAGCAATAGTAACCAGAATAATTACAGTCAAAAGCGAACCAACAACAATAAGTAAAATAAAGCACCATAAGAACATATACTTACTTCTGACAGGCAACCCAGCATCGAGACACTGAGCTCCTCACTCCAATATCATGTAGGGATCCAAACCCACCTAAGGATGTTTTGCAGGAACTACCTGCAACCACCAAGGCCGGCAAACAAAGACGGCGCTTACAATGGACAGATAAAATGAATAAAACAGTAATGCGGTGTTACTACACTGCTACAAAACTCGAAATAATAAAATCGGGCTATAGGCATGAATTACGCAGACTTTTTCTAGCTGAATTTCCATATCTTCAACAACTTGTCACGGAACAGAGAGTAATAGACCAAAAAAGAACCAATACCAAGAATAATCGTCTCACGTCAACTGAACTACAAAATATCAAGGATTCAGTAGCCGCCGAACTGAACACAGACCAGTATCACATCGCACAGAATAATCAAAAATTGCCACAACAACAACTAAATCCCAACAAAACACTTTTTTTAAATGGCAAATAAGACTGGAAAATAAAATCAGTAAAATCAGGAAAGATCTAGGGCACCTCACCAAGTTCACAAACGAGAATACCTCAAAAACATGTTACACAGAGAGTAATGGAAAAGTCAAAATATCCTACCCAAAAAATGCCACAAATCCTTAATACACATAAGCACAAATTATCTGTATATGCGTCAAAGCTCTGGAGATACAAAGAGTCAAACGAAAGGAAAGACACTAACAACCTGTTCCTAAGAAATGAGAAGCAATTTTACCGAAGAACCATGTCCAGCTAAGAAGCAAGAATAATAGAACCACCAGACAAACAAGAACTAACGAATTAATGTAAGAGCATGTAGTCAACAACAACAACACCTAGATTAAAACCGAAGAAGAAAGACACAAATATATACCAGAATAACCAGATTTCATACTTACAACAGAAGAAATCACAAATACAATCAAATACACACACAACACCCTGGCATAGGCAACATTCAAAACTTCTGGTATAAACAGTTAACAGCTACACATGAAGTTCTCACACACCAATTTAACAAAATCATCCAAGAACCACAGAGGATTCCCAGATATCTAACCCAAGGCATAACCTACATGAAACCCAAAAACATGAACGCTAAAAACCCCTCAAACTATAGACTTATCACCTGTCTTCCAAGGCTATATAACATCATCACAGCTACAGTCTGCAAGAAAATCGAGCATCACCTCACAATTAACAACATACTAACAGAAGAACAGAAGGGATGTAGGAAAAACAGCCAGGGCTGTAAGGAGCAGCTGATTATAGATAGCGTCACCATGGGATAAACTAGAAAATATAATAGAAACTTCCACATCGGGTACATAGATTATAAAAATGCCTTATTTGACTCCCTACCCCATAGCTGGCTGATGAAAGTTCTTGAAATTCACAAAATCAACAAGAATCTCAGAAAGTTTCTTGCACAAAATCATGAAATTCTGGCAACCCAAAATCCGACTAAATACAGAAACCGAATACATCCAAACTAAAGAACTTCATTTCAGACGTGGTATTTTCCAAGGCGATTCGCTTAGCGCTCTATGGTTCTGCCTCTGTCCTAATCCACTGTCTAATACACTTAACAATACGAAGCACGGTTTTCAGCTCAGACACAAGAAAGAAAACCAACACCAAATAAACCACTTACTGTATATGGATGAAATCAAACTCTACGCGGCCACGGAAACACAGTTGAAAAGCCTCCTCAAAATTACAGAAACATTCACCTCAGATGTCTGTATGGAGTTTGGGATAAGTAAATGCATATAGGGTATTCCACATAAACAAAGGCCAGTGGACTAAACATCATGATGTCCAAACCGTCGATAGTGAAACACTAGACATGCTCAGGAATGAAACATAAAAATACCTAGGATTCCATCAAAGTACCAAACTCAATCACACTCACATTAAAATAGAGCTTAAAACTGAATTCAGAAATAGACTCATCAGGCTATTAAAAAGTAAATTGAATTCCAGAAATCTCACTAAAGCCATAATTCCTACTCTTACATACTCATTCGGTATCACCAAGTGGTCCGAAACTGACCTGGAAAACATTTACATCCTCATTCGCTCTGAACTTATCACAGACAGAAAACACCCCAATTCATGCAAGAAAAGGCTAACAAACAAAAGGAATGAAGGAGGAAGAGGAATTGTAGACGTAACATCACTACATGCAAGGCAAATACAAACACTTAGGAAATTCTTTCATGCTAGACAGACTGGGCTCTACACAGCGATAAGCATAGCAGATAAAAACTATACACCCCTCAACCTATCCCAAACAACACATCTAATAGACATATTATACAACGACACGCAATGGCAACAGGGGAAAATGAACACCTGGGCACAAAATATTCTGCACGGACAGAACAGATACCACATGAAACAAGATTATATTGATCAAAAATCATCATACACCTGGTTAGATAATGGTCAGTACTTTCCCAAAATGAAAAGATTCCTGCTTGCGATCCAAGATAAGGTCATAGCAACAAGGAATTATCAAAAATATATCATCAAAGACCCGGCTACAGCAGGCAGATGGATACATGCAGAAAATGCCACCTCCAAAAGGAAACAATTGAGCATATTACAAGTGGATGCAAGTCCCTAGCTGGCTCAGAATACACAGCAAGACATAACACAGCAGCAAAAGTAATCCACCAAGCACTGACCACAGCATTCAGACTAATAGAAAACACAGATCCATACTACAAATACACACCATCCTCTAGACTCGAAAGCAAGGATTTCAAACTATACTGGGATATCAATATTCAGACAGATAAAACAATATCCGCCAATAGACCAGATATCACCTTTCAGTTAGAAAGAGAAAAAATCACATACCTACCTAATTGATGTAGCTATTCCCAGTAAAAAAAACATCCAGACAAAGTACAATGAAAAAATCTGTAGATACACAGACCTAGCAATCGAAATGACGAGACTCTGGAAGCAGGAAAACGTAACTATTATCCCCCTGATTATGTCAGTAACAGGCCTCACACCCAAAACATTCAAATCACACCTGAAACAGCTAGGACTCAACACTAACATACACAAAAACTTTCAGAAATCGGTCATCTTAAAAACATGCCACATTGTCAGATCATTCTTCAATTCAATTTAAAAATAATAGTATTTGCAGGGACTTGGCATAGCCCGTCACAGCAACATCAAACCACAATTATGTGAGAAAATTTCAATTTCAACAATAATAATAATAATAATAATGTATATTTATTATTTATGAGTAATAACTAGCTGTTGCCTTTTTTGCATATTGTTGTTACATGTGCTGACTGCTGACCAGCAGGTATGTCTTTGATTATCACAACTCGAAGGTATTTGTGTTCCTGAACACTGACCAGTAGGTACTGACCCATTGATGGTGTATTTATTTTTTTCAAATTATTATTATGGTACATTAGTAAACAGTTTACACTGATAAAACTATTGGATTACTTTTAAGTTTATCTTTGTGTTTTTAATAAGTTATTATCCATAATGAATATCCACCTGGAATAATGCACTTATTATATCGGTGTCGACCTTATTCTTGAAAGAATTCAAACTCTGCGCGGTGACTGTAGAATTTGACAGGCTGTTCCATGGGTAGATAATTCGATTTGCTAGGAAGTTCCTTCTTGGATCTGGTCTGATCTTTATAATTTTTGGAATAGAGTTATAATATTTAATTTTCTGGGTTATTTTTCCCAAGATGTGACATATTTTTCCACATTAAAGGGTAGTAGCCAGTCGTCACACCACTTCTCAATTTGGTTTAAATCATTCCGAGTCAGAATTCTTGGCGAAACCATAAGTTTTTATGTCATTGACAATTGAAGAGATCTATAGTGCAAGTTGACAGCCTTGCAAGCAACAGAGGTGCAAGTACCGAGCCTTGAGGTATGCCACTTTCTACTGGCCAAAGTTCAGAGTATGAGTTCATCAACTCTGACTTTCTTCCTTTTGGTCACTTATCTTCGCTCTAAACTTTTACTCAGCATCAAAAGCAACATCCTTAAAGTCCTGAATGCTTTTTGTTAGTTTTATCAAGATTCGCAATTTGCTTCGTTGCTCCTTCTCCCAAGTCTTCAATTTAATTGTCTTTTCTTCTGCTTTCAGCCTTTGGTTTCTCCAACAGGTCAAAAATGAAAATGAAGTTTTTATCTCACGAGCAATTCAACCAACTCGGATTTTGAAAATTTGTTTTTCCAGTGTTACAAATTCGAAATGCATACTACCTTTACAGACTGAACTCAACTTTTGGACAATCATCTGTTAATCTTACCAATATGAAATCCGTTATCCGAATTAATAATAAAATAAGTCTTATGAAAAACTTTCATTTTCTTTAGCTGCAGAACAATTCTTTCCACCATATCGTCTACAGCTAACAGTGTTTGTAGTCTCCTTCTGTGAACTTGATTCAGGACACTTATATTTGTTGGGAGGCGTTTGGGAGCCATTTTAACAATCCAGTGTTTCTAAAATTTAGTATTTTATTAATATAATTTTCAAATTTTCATTACTTACATGAGCTGGAGTGTAATTAAAGGATGGATTAGTGACTACACCGACTCCTGGAAATCTGTGGATATACCGTTTTGGTGGTATGAATGGAGAATGGCTCGCTGGTGGAGCAACCATCATGAAAAATGGATTATTTTCAATGTTTTTTTGGTTTAGAAATGCTAAACTGTAATTTGCCTAAAATTAAAACAAATAATAAGTAAAATGTTGGGAAGAGAGAGAAAATACCTACCAATAAATCAGTCAAGTATAAATTTTTAATTGGCATATTTGTCCCATTTATGGACAAGGTATAATTGTAATATTTCGAGTTTCCTTTTAAGCCTATCCACCAATCATATCCTTTTGGTACATGAGCTGTTCCACCAACATATTTAGAACCGTACTACAAAAAAAAACACCAAAAATGTCAGAAAACGCTATGGGCTGCATTATTACATTTTATCATCACCTGATTAAGATACTTTCCAGCATAAAAAGTAGTATAGTTCGCCCTATTTTTCAAAATAGCGGCAATAGAATGGGGTTCATGATGCTTCTGCCAATATTCGCTGGAACAATTTCCAGCCAACGAATTATTAAAAACACCAAGATTGTGTGGAAATTTTCCAGTCAGAATAGTGCTTCTACTCGGACAGCAAAGTGGAGTATTAACAAACTGAAAAAATTAATTTACAAGCCAATTAGTTGGGCTTCGCAGGACTGCATATTTTATAATGAGATTAAAACAATTAAAATGGTAATTGCATCCGATATTACTTCGTTAACAAAAAATTGCGTCGAAGCTTACATCATATGTAATAACATCGTAATTTAAATAATTATTATGCGCATGGAATGAATAGTTTTTAACTGGTTTTGCTATAGCATAATATTTTTTGTTGTAAAAAGATGAACATATTTTTCCAGGAATACAATAAGTAATTATTATTATTTTAAAATCTGTGTAACAGAAAAATTAAACACTCACACCCATTTGTTTAAAATATTCCTATATTTGTATTACAATTCCTCTTTGTAAGCAAATGGGTAATGGGTTTACTGTACTCCCATTTATTAGCAAATAACAAGAGGCCTTCTCATTATTGTTTTGTCTGGCAGAAGTTATTTTTAGAAATTATTGAGCTGAAACTATTTCAAAGCCCAGCAACAGAAGATAAATGGACATTGAGAACAAAGGATAGTTATTTATTTAGGCAAAGGTTTTTTACAAACATTTGGTGGTACTGATCTCAGATTACATTATTCAATAGGCAAGATTTAGCTAGTTTATTTTCCCATTATTTTTACTAAACTGGATGAATATTTTGATTAAAATTAATTCAAAGTTAATTTAACAATAACATATAAGTATGATGAAACGAAATTGTTCTTACCGAATGCACAAAGAATTTCCCTCTGTCGCCAATGAGATTCAAAGACTTTTTCATGGCAATCTGAAATATTAATGAAATAACTATTAACAATAATTAGATCCCGTAGAGTAGATCAACCCTATACCAGACTATGCAACTTTATTTCAGATGATCCGGATTTGGGTAAGTATTAAAAAAAAAATTCTTCCATGGAGTCTTGAATTTGTTTTTATTATTATCCAAGTCAATATAATTGAAAAAAATCAATTAATTTTAAAACCCTTTTCATTTTTAATCAGGATTAGCAAGGTATACAAAATGGCATTTTTTCAGGGTCTTTGTTGAAGTAAAGTTTATTAATGGACAAGCCATGTACAGTAAATAATGTAATACAAAAATACATGACGTTATAATATTAAAGAAAAACACAACCTAAAATTTAACATTTACGGTACTCATAAATACAATGACATTAGCGCTGCAGACCATTCAACAGTTGTTTACAAGTTTTCAGAGATATGCCAAGAAAATCAAAATTCATCAATCAATATACAGTTATACTGGCTCTTGATTTGTTAAAAATCTTTTCTATGTTTCAAACTTGGTCTTTGAATAGTCTTGGAAAAATAATTCATTCAGCAAATCAATAAATCAGTAACAATCAAAGCTTGATAGTAACAATTAAAATTTGAATTATTACAGGCTGTTGATTTGCTGAACAACTTTTTTAGGGACAATCAAGAGCCGGTAATGATCAAAATTTGGACTCATAACTGGTAGATTCCGTCTTTAAAGAATGTCTAGCAAATCAAGAACCAATAATAATCCATATTTAGATTGTTTTGGGTCTTTGAAAAATAATTCAGCAAATCAATCAACCAATAACAATCAAAATTTGAAGTATTACAGGCTCTTGATTTGCTGAACAACTTTTTTAGAGATAATCAAGAGCCGGTAATGATCAAAATTTGGCCTCATAATTGGTAGATTTCCTCTTTGAAAAATGTCTAGCAAATCAAGAACCAATAATACCTAATCACTATTTAGATTGTTTTGAGTCTTTGAATGGTTTTGGAAAAATAATTCAGCAAATCAATAAACCAGTAAAAATCAAAATTTGAATTATTACAGGCTGTTGATTTCGTGAAAAACTTTTTTAGAGGCAATCAAGAGCCAGTAATGATCAAAATTTGGACTCATAACTGGTTGATTCCCTCTTTAAAAAATGTGTAGCAAATCAAGAACCAATAATAATCAATATTTTAGACTATTTTGGGTCTTGGAAAAATAATTCAGCAAATCAATAAATCAGTAAAAATCAAAATTTGAATTATTACAGGCTGTTGATTTGGTGAACATCTTTTTTAGAGACAATCAAGAGCCAGTAATGATCAAAATTTGGACTCATAACTGGTAGATTTCCTGTAGTAATCGTTAGTTGCTGTAGTTAGTTGTCAGTTGATAGTTGTCATAAAAATATATAGAAACCATTTAGTAGCAAGTTTGCTTCATTTTGAAAATATCTATAATAATACATGGCGCAGCAAGAACATCAAATAACGGAAATCTTCCGGTTACAGAAAAAAAGTATCAGTTTTGCAGTTTAGTGACAACGACAAAATGGAACGAAGATTACCAGAGCCAATGAAGGTAGAACGAAATTTAATAAGAAATTTGATGTTTTACCAAAGTTTTGAGACGTATTTAATTGCCACAGGGAAAGACACAAAACCAGATAAGGTAAAGATTGCTCTTTTCTTAAATTTGATAGACCCTGAGGGGTTAATATTATAATGTATTGAAAATTACTGAAAAGGACAAATATGACATTGTGATTGCAGAATTTAGGAAATACTGTGCTCCTAGGAGAAACAAAACGTATGAGAGATCCGTATTTAATAACCGAAGTCAGGAGCCAGAAAAGCCGTTTGATCACTTCTTCAGTGAACTGAAAAAATTGATTCAAACTTGTGACTATGATACTCAGGAAGACAGTATTTTAATAGATAGAATAATACTAGTGGTAAATAGAAATACTGAGCTTACAAAAAATCAGCTAAAATCAGTGCGAAATATGGACGCTGGTGTTTCTAGACTAGATGCAGTGAAATTGAAGAAACAGGATGAAAAATCAAAGAAATTCTCATGCAAAAGATGCAATGGAATACATAAATTTGCAGAATGTCCAGCATTCAGTATGGATTGAAAAATTGAAAGTGCATCACACAGACATAGATTTTAAAATAGATAAGTACTGGTTCTGAAGTGAATATTTTACCAAGAAAAATACTGACCATATTTTCCAGAAACGGGTGGTATGAATAAAAACTGAGTTTAAACTCGGAGTATATACTCGTGAGCATGAGTATGAAGTCTGAGCTTATACTCCATTTCGTAAGAATAAAAAAGATTTCGGTTTGATAAGTACATACTCCTAGTACATAGAGTAGATACTTAAAATTTTATTTTGCTTGCCACCGTTCTTTTGCTTCTATATCCTACTCACAATCTGATGTCCACAGGTACAGGTAAATTTATCACCTTTCCCTATCAAATAGCATTGAAAGGTGATAAATTTTACCTGTACCTGTGGACATCGGATTGTGAATGGATAATATTATATCCGCAGGACTGCGGGGAAATTTGTTCCACCGTTCACTTTGCTTATTTATCAGCTACTTCCGATACAACTTTAGACACCGAAGTTTGGTGAACACCGACATCCTCGCCTACTCCTGCCTGAAAGCCCGGGTCACCCACGTATCCTAAAAATATTTTAACTTTGTCTTTGTTGCATAAAGCACCACCTCTTCTTTCTCCAGACTCTTCACCCAAAAATTGATTTGATAACCAACCACTCCACAATTTCTTTACTAAACGGGTACAACGTTTTAAAGTCCCGATCACACGTATTTTTTCTCGCTTTGTAAGATTTCTCCGAACGCAGGTTAAGATTGAAGAACTCTGCCATAGCTCTGCGTTCTACCGAGGGAAAATCGGTACTGAAATAACTTTAAGCAGAAAGTTGAGTCTACTGCATGGTAGACTCTAAAACTATGGAGTAGATTCTCCTGCCGAAGAGCACAAACAATTTTTTATTCATACCAGAAGTGAGAATCTACTCATACCAAATTATACATAGGAGTACCTACTCAAGCGAAATATCTGCTCGTAGTTTTTATTCATACCACGTGGAGTATTTACTCCAAAATTTGGAGTAGAAACTAAATGCTCATTTTTATTCATACCACCCAATAACTGGCATATGTTGGTGAATTGCAGCACAATTCTGGAAGCCTATGGTGGAGTAAAATTCAAACCAGTTGGAATAATAAACTCGCAGTATTTAAGATTTGGTAATGTATTTTACCTACGAGCGTGCGTTTAAGTGCACTTTACCGCACGTATTTGCAAATGGAAAGTATTACTTTACCGCACACTATGTGGTAAAGTAACTTTACCGCATAGTGTGCTGTAAAGTTAACTTTACAGCATAGTATGCGGTAAAGTGGACTACAAAGTGTGCGGTAAAGTGCACTTAACCGCATAGTGTGCGGTAAAGTAAAATTTGATATTTTTAATCAGAAGGTCTTTTTCAGAAAATGAATTTTTGATCATTTCTATATCTAATCTAATTTCATTAATTAATCTGATTCAATAATTAATTTTATCAATGCTTTTTTTTAGAGATGTAGATGCTCATAGGTAAAATTTTGTACCTAACACATGCGAAAAGTGCCTTTACCGCCCTAAACGGCTTGACCGAACTCCGCTCCGCGTCGTTCGGTCAACTGCCGTTGCGTGCGGTAAAGTATCACTTTCCGCATTTGTTAGGTAAATAACTATGACCAGGGGTTAATCAAATCGTGTCACAAATTCGTCCGAAATCCCCGAAATCTTTCCAAAATCTACGAAATCACTCCGAAATCCCTCCGAAATCTCGCAGAACTCGGTATTTGAGTTAGAATTTTTGAGTGTTGATTTGAATGTTAAACGACTATTAGGATATTACCATCTTGTTATAGGCTGAAAATAATTAAAAACACTGGAAGTGTGCAAGAGGTTAGTCCTCAGGTTAGTCAGAATATTGATTTGAATTCAAATATAAATAAGAATTGGATTAGTGAATATAGTGAGTGATGTTTTTGAGGGCATAGGCACTTTTCCAGATACATGTAAAATTGAACTAAAAGAAAACAGTAGATATACCAGTGGCTAGACCTGCTCGACGGGTTCCTTTAGCTATTAAAGATAGATTAAAACAAAAGTTAGATAAATTAGAGCAGCAGGAAGTTATAAAGAAATTAGATAATGCTAATAAGTGGGTTAATAACCTGGTTATAATTAAAAAACCAGATAAATCCCTAATGCCCGTTTGTTCCGTCTTCGCCGTAAACAGTGATTAGCTAATCATTAATTAGTTTTTAAACAACGTTTATATATTTGTGGATTGCATCGTCTAGAATTAAACGGTGTTTAGTTAAACGGAGAAAGTACTTGGCAACAGGGTAATATTCTCCGTTTTGGCTAACTTCATAATGCACAAAGGCACATTGGGTACATTCAGGCGATCCCAGCGGCTTTACTCAGCCTCTCAGCAGGAACTTTATTCTCGAAACCAAGGAACAGCGTTCTCATTGGAATGAAGGTTCTGTCTTTGTCGTCCGGCCTAACACTGACAATGACAGAGTAATCGCTCTTATGAGAACGCTGTTCCTTGGTTTCGAGAATAAAGTTCCTGCTAAGAGGCTGAGCTAAGCCGCTGGGACCGCCTGAATGTACCCATTCATAACCACAATGTTTACTGTGTGTCTGACAAAGTCAAACTGTCAAGCAAGTTGACTAGCGTACTTTTTCAGCATAGAGTTTTTCGGGTTCTTTGTTAATTTTTATCGTGTTATATTTTGCGGTGTGCGTCATGACCTCCTGATTAAACTCTGGTGTTTTTTCAATTTAATGTTCATTTTCTGCATGCATTTCAATAGGAATAATTGGAAAATTTGAAGATGCAAGACAAAATAAAGCTAATTAAGTAGATCCCCTATCAGTTCCATCAAGTACAGAACTATATTCTTCATCAA